GGTCCTGCTTCTGCCACTGAGAATCCAGTAGCCCAGCATTTCTCTTTCCTTACCTCTTGTGATGGTTCCAGTACTACATCAAGGGCTGCAAAAACAAAAAGCTAAGATTTCGTTTAAAACAAAATACTTCACAGACAGACCGTTTCTGGGAGGTTATTTGTCAATGAAACAAATGCGGGTGGGTGGCCAGAAGGAAGTTTTTATTTTGACATTGTTCTCCTTTAAACCATTCAAGCCATGGAGTGATGGCTCTGCAGTTGTAACACGGCTAGAGGGGGCTGAGCAGTGATCTAAGAGGGGGCTGCGTGGTGATCTAACCCACGCAGCACACCCTTGCTTCAGGTAGGGGGAACAAATGAAAACTGGGGAGGGCAAGAGCACACCATGCGATTGGCTGGATTTTGATGCAGCATCCACTCTAACGTCCTGAAATATGGAACGCAGGAAGTCTCCACAGATGCACCCTGCTGCAGTTCTTGAAAGGCAGGAACAAATCTAAACTGGGCTTTGTAAAAACAAATGACATCATTCCTGCATACTCTGAAACGCTGCAGCCCCAATGGAACATTTTCCCCTTTGCTCTTTCTGTGTCTGACTGCAGGGCTTCAGGTTTTTATGCTGCACGTTTAACTGGCTAAATCTTGCAGGGAATAACCTTTCATCACTCACCTCTAAAAATAATAAAATCCAAGAAGAAAATATAGAGGCATGTAAAAGTTCATTTAAACTCACATTTAATCTCCACACGGCTGTTATCTAGAGACATGACAGCACATGGGAAGAATTCTAGTGATTTGAAGGAAACAATAACAAAATGCTGTATTGGGGACTGTCATCATGGAAATTGTAGCATTGATTTATTTTGGGTGGCCTTCGTTGTACGGGGTGCAGTGCTGGTGACTGGGAGGACTATAATTTCCATTTAGGGATTTTTCTGGGTTTGCACTGTTAGCTGCAAAAGTAATCAAGGACCTGTGCTAGCTAAGCTAGTCAGGTAAGAGCTGTATTGGAATACTGTTCTAGCTGTGCTGGTCCTCACTGTAGAAATCTACAAAAAATAAATAAATAAAAGATATGTGAATCTGACAGTTTTTTAAAACACAGCAGAGTTAGCTGACTTTCAAAATATTGTTTAAGAAGCTAGATACCTAGAAACACGAGAGTGAATCTTCAACATCCCAAAATGTGATGGAAATTTTCTCATGGAGAAAACATTTGTTTAATTACGATCCTTAGCCAAAAGACATCCCAGAAAGTTCCCTCTCTGTCAAGGCCAGTCCTGTAAGACTGCATGGGCGAGAACGGGGAGAGCTCACCAAGGCTTAAAGCCTGCTTGGTTTTCTCCATCCCCAAAAACCTAGACCTCGCTGTTCGCCTTCCTAAAATCAGTTTCCACTAATTCTGGAAACTGCTTTACTTTACTGAGTGGACTATTAAAAGTTTTTCGGTTCAATTTTCTTCAATATCATTACCAGATGACAAACAAACAAAAAAAAATCTCAAACTACAAGAATGAATTTTATGTTAAAAACAACATGAGATGACTTGAACTGAGGTATGAGCATGATACCATACACCCCCCAAACTCATAGTGATTTATTCAAGAAGCACAGGCAAGACGATGTTGCCTTCCTCTCTGAAATGAGAGACTTGGTTAGTCCAAGAAGAATCTTGAAGAGAAATGAAGAAATAAGTCCATATGGCCATCCCTCCCCTCCCCCTTGTACATTAATTTTACATCTCTGCCTCGGTTCCAGGTTTCTACATAGTCCCTTTGACCTTCAAACTCTAGAGGTCATCTTTGAGAACTTCACTCTTATTCATGGCATGAATTAACTGATAGCTACTGTGTAAACCCAAAGGAAGTCACGTGATGGCAATTAAGAACAATCTCTAAAATAAATAAAGATACATTTACTAATCAGGAAATGCAATAGACTATGTAATTAAATGAGCATGTCATTATTATCGAGGATGATACCATTTGTTTATTTTCATTGCCCTCCTCTTCAAAATTGTCCTCTCATTCTGAAAGAAAATTTTAAACATATTTTTCTTCATAATTTTATCCATTCAATTATCTGAAATTGTTCTCATTTGTAAAAAATCCTCAATTAGCTCTTCTTATGGGACTGAAGGTGATATTCTCTTACTGTAATCTTTTTTTTTTTTTTTTTCCATTAGGGTTACTTACTTATAGAGAGTTTCCATCCCAGGCAGAGGAAAGTAGAAGTAAGAACTTCCAGCGTTTTTCTACCTCTTTCTGAATTTCCTCTTTGTTACTTTGTCTTTCTTTCATCCCTCCTGAACTGTTGGGCCTGAAGAAAAAGAGCTAGAAACTTGGGATCATAGTGGCTGCTTGGACTCTCCCTTAGCCCAAAGGTGCTTGAGGCTTAAAATTTTTTTAAAAATTTAAAGAAGTAGAAAATAGGAACATCACTGACAGTTTCTAAGTTCTACTGCCTCTGCTTTGAATTTTCTCCTGGGCATGAACATGCTGAAAGTTTTGCATCAAAACTCTCTGTGGGATTTCCTTTCAAAATATGTCTTATTAGCACTTAAAACTGAGAGTTTATGAAAAAGGGGAAAACATTGGGAAATGTAAAGAAATCTAAATTCAATTTGCTTTTCCCGATAATTTCTGTGTAACCTAAGACAAGTTGATGTTATTTAGAAAATAAAATGGAAATTCTACATTTAATTAAATTTGCCCAAAATTTGCTAGAAAAGAACCCCATAATACTGACATAATTGCATATATCCACTCCAATTTATGAGGCAAGCAAATAAAAGGTATTGTGAAAGGCATATATGGGCTGCAAGGAGAGAAAATCATCAACAAAGCCTGAGTCAGAGCACATTGCTCTTCTCCTCAGAACTTTCCAGTGGCTTCCCCTCTCTTTCAGAGAAAGCGCAATACCCTTGCAAAAGCCTGGATTGCCTTCTGCACTCTGTCCTTCCTGCCTCACCTCAGCTTCTCCTCTCTCCTTCTCATATACTCAATTCCAGCCACGCTAAACTCCTTGCTGTTTATTGGACAGTCCAAATGTATGTCAACCCCAGGACCTTTGCATAAACTAATTCCTGTGCCTGAAACAATGTTCCTCCAGGCAGCCATGTGCTAGCTCCTGCATTTCCTTCATATCTCTGCTCAAATGCCATCTTTTCAGTGAGACTTTCCCTGAGCACATTATGTAGAACAGCTGTTTCCACTATCAGTCCACAGTACTTGCTGCTCCCAGTATCCTTGATCCCTTGTGGCCTTCTTTGTTTTTTCCAGAGCACATATAAACATCTGACATTCTATGTATTTGTTGATTTGTTTGTTTATCTGCCTTCCCCACTGGAAGGCAAGCTCCATTACGGCACGGACTTCGCTTTGCTCTCCAGTGTCTACAACAATGCCCAGCACAAAGAAGTGACTCAGGAAATATTTGTTGAAGAAATGAATGAAGAAAAAAATGAACTTCCAATTTTCAAATCCTGCTATAATTTCATATTTCTAAGACTTCTACTTTTGTGTCTTCACCGCAAAATCATACTTATCTTTGTTCCTAAGTCTTAAATCAGTGAAGTTCTAATCAGACATATTTAACATTAAAATGAGAGTTAATTTTAATGTTATTTTTATTCATATTTAAGAGGTTTTTTCGTATTTAAGATTATACATTGATGTCAGTGACTTTTTTCCAAATATAATCCTCTTTTGTTCCTTCATTATTATACATACCACCTTCACTCTTCTCTCCTTGCTTAAAAACTAAAATAGTAGTGCTCACTGGTCTTTTCAGCGAACTCTCATGCAATAATTTCCTTGAGTGGTTTCAATCTGTGTTTCATTTGGCTCCCACACAGAAAACTCTCCTCCATCTTCTCTTCATTCTTAATGTTTTCCCCATTCCCATCCATGTCTCTGAAGCCCCTGAAACTAGGAATTGTTCTCTCTCAGTTCACTTTTCTAATTTCTGTCTGCCATGGTCCTCCTCTTACTCAGCACATGGCCTGGCCTTTCCCTGGTGGGAACTCAGCTCTTTGAGGTAAATCTGACTGTAATCTCTAGACGAATACAGCGGACTGAGAGCTCTCATGGAACTGAATTCTCATGAAGCCTTTTGAGCAGAGGGGCCCCTGATTGAGATGAGTCATGTGAAAGATGAGCTTCAAAACAAGCTGGATTGTTCCTTTCCTTAATAGTAATAAGTTGAGAAGCAGAAATTTGTTAAATACAGAGCTAAAGGTTAACCTATTTTTTCAGTGTTTCTGAATTTTTTATGATTTTTCGCTCTTCAGCATGAAACTCTTTTTGTCTATTTCCTTCCTCTGAATGTTTTATTCTTTTTTTTACCTGTTATTTCTTTTAATTGAGGTATAATTGACACAGAACATTATGTTAGTTTCAGGTGTATAACATGATGATCTGATATTTGTATATATTGCAAAATGATCACCACAGTAAGTCTAGTTAACATCCGTCACATTACATAGTTACAACACTTTTTTTTCTTGTGATAACTTTTAAGATCTACTCTCTTAGCAACTTTCAAATATGCAATACCATATTATTAACTATGGTCACCATGCTGTACGTTACATCTCCATGACTTATTTATTTTATAACGGAAGTTTGTACCTTTTGACTCCCTTCACCCATTTCTCCCACCCTCCACTCCCTGCCTCTGGCAACCAACAATCTATTCTCTGCAAGTATGAGGTTGGTATAAAATTCTTTTTATAGAGCTCTAAACTTTAAAAGAATTTAGGACATTATACTTTTCCATCTTCTATAAATTCACAAACTACCACTTGTTGAAAAGAATCCTGCCATTTTAGTCTCTCTTCTTTTTCCCTACTCCTAACACTTCCATGGGTTTGAATCTGTATATAAGCATTGCTGTGCAATAGAACTTTCTGCAATGATGGAAATGTTCTATATCTGCACTGTTTATAATACAGTAACCACTAGCCACACATGGTTATTGAGCATTTGAAACATGGCTAGTGCAACTGAGGAACTGAGTTTTTAATTTCCAGAAGGGGGTCTTTAATGAAAATAAATTTCTCCTACCAAACGGGGAAAGAACAGATGACACTCCACCAATTTGCAATCTACATCTATGTCTACCTCCAGACCCCATATGGTTATCAACACTTGACCATCTCTTGGTCACACACCTTATTACTCCTAATGTTTTCAGGCATAAAATGCAAAACTACTTTGCCAGCCACCACTCAAGTATCTCTAATGAGAGAGCACATGTTTATCAATAATAAAATGAAACCAGGACTTCACACTAACTTTGGGTTTAGACTCTTGCCCATTGACTCTGCTACTGCAATAGTAGAATATGCCTAACTTTATTCCTCATGACCACACTGTACAGGTACTTATAGGCCATGATTTCCTGATGGTAAGATTTGGAACAGAAATAGAAAGTGACTTGGAGACCTTGATAACCAGACTTCTGAATTATCCATATGCTTGATTACGTAAATTTAAATTTTCTTATTTTTGTCAATGCATTATTATTGCGTGTGATATTTTAACATTTTTTGAAAATTAGCAGTGTTCTTAGCAATAATCTGGAGAAAATATAAAGTTTCAAGCTTATCCAAATGAATTCACTCAATTTAAATTGTGTTTATGGTACTATTTGGGATTCGTTTGATTCTTAAATTTTCAATCTTTATAATTACAGAAATCCCTCCATGTCATGGGTCATACCAAAGTTTTATTTATCTTTGCTTCTTTGTGTTTGTATGTAGGACTTCTATTTTATTACTCTCTAGATATCAACTCTGCAGAGTTGCTACAATGGTGCCCACCAGTGAGTAGGACGTTAGCCATAGCCAGACAAAATACGTTGAAAGCCCAGGGGGCAGAAAACTTGTGCCCACAGCTCCACAGTGCCTACTCTGCAGATCAGTGTTTTGAGATGCTCCCTGAACAAAACAAATCAAAAAGACAACCACTGTTCTATCCCAGGAGACTCATAACACACACTGACAGAGTAAAGATTCTGAGACGTCCAGGAGCAAAGAAACCAGTGGCTTTCTTTAAACTCAGTGTTTCTCTGTGAATTTGACCTTGGAACACTTTATTTTCTCACCTGACATCTCTTAACAGCCTGTGGAACTAATGTTCCAGGGAACACTCTTAGAGAAATAAGGTCCAGGTATTAAAGTATTTCTAAGTATCCACTTCCTATTTCCAAATATTCTGGCTTATTCTACATCTAGATACGTTCAACAGATTCAGAAATCCTACGGATTTAACAGAATGCCAGGTATGTCTAGGTTGAGAAGTTTCCAAGGGGTCAATAAGACCATTAAATAAATAAATAAACTTCCACCGTTTGTTCCTAGGGTTGCCACTGAGAACTTTTCTAACAGTTTATAGTTGCTTTGCTGAGAGGCTTCAAATATCTGGGATCACAATTGCCCATCAAGCTACAGATTTGTCGTTAATTGCAGATGCAATTAGCTATATGATTATTTCCTATAATCAGGCTCTTGTAGACAAGATTTCCCCTACTGAAAATACCTGGAGGATCTGTTACAAAGAGCAGTTCCCAGGAGCAGAGAACACACAGCAGTTTTCACGATTTGCCTTAGTGTTAGCTTGGTTTCTTTGAGCCCACAGGAATGAGCTCTCCTACAAAATTTAGTTAAAGAAATGATCTGTGTGAGGCCTGCCTATGAAACTACGGTGTGGGGAAAATGAAAAGTATCTTCCAAAGTCAAAAAGGCATCATTAAAATAGTCCTCCCTCAGGAACAAGACTGTTTAATGGCTTTTTCAAAACAAATAATAAGCGAAAAGGAAAGGATTTACGAGGTGTCCAGACATTGGAATTTTAGAGTTCTGAGTTATGTTTTATCTACCTAATAACCGCTATCTCCAGACCACTTAAGTCTATGACTCGGCAGAGATGCCTTTATCTGCTTCACAGATTCTTCTCTAGTAAAGATCTCTGTCCATGATCTTCATCTACATCTAAGAAGCTGAAACCAGGCTAGGGCAGCAGATTGCATGAGACAGTGCTGTACAGAAGAGAAACTCTGGAGTCAGACAAGTCTTCAAATCCCTAATCTAACAATTATAAACTGCAACTTTTCTGAATGTGAGTTTCTTTATCTGTGAAATGGTATTATAGCACCTACAATAAAAGACAGTCAAGGGAATCTGGTGAGATAGTGTGTATAAAGCATTTTAAACAGGGCCTGGAAAGCAGTCAAATAAGCTAGAAAATGGGGGTTATTACTTTAAGATATTATTATTATTTCATAATTATTTTCTCTAGTTTCTACAATATAATATTTAAGCACTCATTTCTTTAAACCACACGCCACATTGATTCCATTCCTTTATTCAGCAACTGCTCAAGTCACTAAAGATTGGGAAATAAGAGAGAGTCCTGGCCACTGAGAGGTTACAATTGAGTCAGGGCAACAGCCATGGCATCAATCATAACAGCACATCACAGCAAGTGCATTATGGGAGAAGTGTGAGCACAGTCGTGTGGGAAGACAAGAGGGGAATGGCAAATTCTGCCCGAAGATGCAGGCTCAGGCTTCTTAGGGATGCAAGCAAAGGATCTGCGGCCTGAAGAGCCAAGGGGATTTGCCAGATGGAGGAGAATGGGAAGAGTCTTTCAGCAGATGCATCAGAAAAGGAAATGTTCAGTGACGCTAGGGAATGCGTATGTGTGATGTGGAGGGAGGACAAGAAGAGGTTCAAGAGTGTCCATTTAAGGGGTTGAAAAAGCCAAATTGGTCAGACTGGACAGAAAAATGGGGGGGAAGTAGTTAAGTTATTGAACATTTACTATGGCTGGCATCATGCCAGATGCTTTACCTCAAGTTTGCATCTAAATCTTGTGATGACACCATGAGATAAATAGCCTTATCTCCGTCGTGCAGATGAGGAAAGTGTGGCTCTCAGAAATTAAGGAAGCTGTCCAAAGTTACATAAAAAGACACTGAAAGAACTTGGATTCCAGCCCAGGTTTGTCAGATGACAGAGCCCACATCAACCTCTATTTTAAGCAAGGGGAACCAGCAGGGGTCTTTAATCAAGGAAGTGACCTCATCAAAAACAACTTTTTTGTAAGGAAAGTAGGGTGACCGAATATAGATGATGGGTTGGAAGGAGAGAAGGCTGGGGATTGAGAGAGAAGTTACAGTTTATTGTAGCTTTGCAGGAGAAAGATGAGGATGGTCTCAGCGAGCCAGTACCTGTGCAGATGGACGGCAGAGAAACATTCTTTAGAGAGACTCAAAAAGGCTTGAGTACCAATTGGATGTGAATACACCTCAGAGTAAAATCTCTAAACCCAGATAGGATAAAATGCGGGTGGAGGAGAACACTGAACTGCTTCGTTTTAAAATGTTATGTTAATTTGGAAGAGCAGAAGCAGACATGTGGTATTATGCTATCTAAATCGTGCTACTCCAAGACCAGCACATTGCTTCACCTAGACATTTTGTTGGAAATGCTGAATTTCATGCCCCACTCCGGACATTCTGAAACAATCTGCATTTTAACAAGATCTCCAGGTGAAAGAAGCCCTAACCTAAGAGAACTAAAACTGAGGGAACCAGAGGAGGAAGGTGTCAGAGAAGAGAGGCAATTTTCTTTAAAAATAGGCTCTACATTCTGAATTTTGCCCACGAATCTATAATCTTTCAAAAGCATTCTGGTTACCAACGATTTTATTTCATATTACTTTTATTATGTTAAGAAGTTTCAAGAAGCAGCAGCAGCCACAGGTGCTGACATAGCCAAGATGTAAAAGGCAGATGCTCCTTCAAATTCAGTACTTTATAAAAGACTGCCAAGTCCAAGCTGTAACCAAATGATTAGGTGGCATTAGGTCTGCTCATTTGGAATGTCAGCACGGATAATGCTTACATAAGCTCTATGCTATCTGATATTGTCCTTCAGCTACCGGGAAAATAGAAATCTGAAAGAGGGTGTGTTTTATCATCATGATTGACTGACTGGGAGACAGAGTAGAAAGATCTTAAAATATTTTCTGAATTTGCAATTGGTTCATTCAATACATATGTGTATTAATGTGTAAGTGTGTGCAATGTTGAGAATGTCTTGAATACTGTCCTGAATTTACTATTTTGCTCTCTAATTGTTACTGATCCAAATTCCCTAGATGGTACCAAAAAAATCATGAAAATCGGGGCCAACACGAGTAGGTTTGGGAAAGCCTGGTGGGGGAAAACATGGTAGACCTCAGAAAGAGTACACCAGCCCAAAATCTTCACCCAGGATTTGCTCTGGAATCTCTTCTGGACCATTGGCCCGGTAATTTGTACCAGCTTCCCCCCATCTCATCTACCCTGATAAGCATTGGCATGCTTTGTGTAAAGAATACTAGAACTATATATTCTCATTGTCTTATAATTTAATCCTTTAGATGTGATGGGCAAATTAAAATGGTTCCTCTTGGCTCAATAAGAAAAGCTTGCATACATCTTGAACTTTGGTAAGGGGCGAGGATCTTCAGAACCCCTCTCTTGTCAATGCACTCCATCCCTGTGATGGCACTGTCCTGAAGAACTTGGGGTTCCCATTGCTGTCTTCATCTTTGTTTGTTAACAAAGATCTTTGAGAACCTACTATGTTCTGGCACTGTTCTAGGCTCTAGGGCACAGAGGTGAACAACACCGCTATTCAAATGGACCTAACATTCAACTGAGCAAAACAGATAATGAACAAATAAAAACTGCAACCGTAAAGTAATGTCTGGTAGTTGTAAGTGACCATGAAAGAGCATGGTATGGTGTAATGGGAAAGAGAGCAATAGGGATGCTGGTGTAGACAGGTTAAGTCAGATTTCTCAGGGGAGGTGATATAAGAGCTGAGACTTGAATAAAGTACAGAGGTTAAACTTGGGAGGAGAAGAGCTCTAGGAAAGGAGATCAGCAAAGGCAAAGCACATCAGGCATGTTTGGAAAGTGGCAAGAAGGCCAACATGGCTGGAACAGAGCGGCAGAGAGTGAAAGGAAATGGTCAGCCAGGTACCAGATCATGTAGGCACTTGAAGGACCTTAAAGGTAATAAGGTTAAAATAATAAACAAACAAACAAAAATCTTTCATTTACTGCAACAGGCACAACACTAATAAAAATGTATACATTACCCAGTTTAATCCTCACAATAATCCTATATACAGGTGTCATCATTATCCCTCAACAAAACTGAGGCTTAGAGACATTAATTAATATGACCAAGGTCACACAGCTACTAAGTTTTGGAGCTGCGATTTGAACCCAGGTCAGTCTGACACTAGAGGCCACTATACTTTCCACGATGCTATCATTATAGACAGATGTCTGGAATCAAAATGTCCATGCAGTTTATTGGTGGAAGTTCTGTGAAGTTCAAGTACGGTAAATACGGCTGTAGGTCCTTCTAACTATAATAGAAGGGTAGAATTATATTCTCTAGTCTTTACCACAATTATACTTTATTTTTGGTCACATTTTTCATGTTCTTAACACAGTAAGATTCTCATTGAAAGTTCAAAGTCCACGTTAATTTTGTACAAGCATTTATTTAAGGTACAAAATAATCAAATTTTTATAACATCTAGTTAACCCCTCATCAGACTCGGTAAAACAATACACCATGATACACAGCTGCAAAGACATTTCCATTTTAAAATATTTGATATTAGTTACTGAATTTGAGATACGTATGTTCAAAATATCTGGTACTTTCTCCTTCTAATTACATTGTCTTTGCTAATCTGTGCACCTGCTTTTCTAAATTTATCTCACAATACATAAATCCACTCAAGGAGGTCTGTTCCATACATACTCATCCTTTCTCATCTCACGTCCCACACAAGAACCCTTTCCAGTCCCTCTCTGCCCATTACAATGCGCCTGTTCCTTTCATGCCCTGCGCTTCTCACTGGAGCATTTAATATACTGGCTGCCTGCGTAATAGATTAACCTCCAATATATACATTCTGTTTCACCAACTCACCATGGACGGCTTGACTTGCTCTTCTAAGTCTCTGAGGACCTGACTTTGCCCACTCACCACCATAGCTTCTGAGACCTTTTGGAGCACCAACATTTCTTTCTCCCAACCACATCTGTATCTCCTGATGACCAGAATATTTCTTTGAATCCTTCAGTTCATTGAATAATTCCTAACTCATGAACAACTGATTTCTCTAACTCTGGCCTTCACTATAGGGTAGTGTGGTTTTCAAACCTGTTTCCAGGAGTTTCCTTGGAAAAGGCCTGGAATCTGAGTGACCTGAGGCACACATTTTAATGACACAAAAACCTAACTGATTTAAAAAATAAAATCTACTTAGGACAAAAATAACCCAGGAACGTTTCCATTCCTCCAATGCCATCCATGCTACAATCCGGGAAATTTAGAACCAGGTCTTTTCAAGAAAGCTCTGCCCCATGGGGCAACAAGTTGTTGTAGAATAAATGGAATCATTTTGTTTTCCATTCTGCCAGTGGTGATAATATTAAGCTAAGCATGATCTTTCTATGAACACTTTGATAAAAGTTTGGTTCAAAGGTTGTTTTTTATTTTTTTTAACAAAAATCAGTCTTTTTTGTGCTGCTTTTGCACTGCAAATGGGTCTAGTATCAGGGGCCGTGGAAATCAGGCATAAATTATAAAAGGTTTTCATTTGCTCTCAGGACGACAGTTTAAAATATTCTGTATTCTCCAACAGTAGAAGTACAAAAGCTGAAAAAATCCTGGGCTTGGAAAGAAACTGCAGGGTCTAAAAGTCTCCAGAAGCACTCAAAATGACAGGGCTCTCCACCAATAAAATGTGAGATTCAAGGAACACATTGTCACGACTCAGCAAATAATAAGGAGCAGGTATAAGTATGACATCATTGAAAAACATTCTCATTGGCGGTTCCTCTGTGCGCTGGTTACTGTTCTATTTGTGGCAGCAGCAGCCTTATTCAAATTAACCTTTTCACGCAAAGGGGAGGAGGGAGGCAGTGAGTAATACGCTGCAGTCTTTTCCCTGAAGGTGATGTGCTCTCAAATTCCCTTTACATCGCCTTTGAGCAGGGAAAATAAAAATACATTCAGCTGTGGCAGTGTTTCACAGGGATAATAGCTGCTTGAATTAGATCAGGTCAGTGAAAAGAGATGAAATAGAAGCTGTGGCAGAGTTAAAACAAATTTCTGAATTTCCTCTTTGCTTTCATTCCTTCCCCCCTTATTATTTCTCCGCGTCTCATTCCTGGACTCAGTTGCTACACAGACAAAACTTGGTAGCCGTCCACCCGGCCATTTGAGGGAGGGATTTTTTTGAATACTAATACCTCTAGCCTGTGCTGTCTGAGGGGCCGGCAGACAGGTCAGATTCACGCATGGTTTCCTGGCATTGCAGAAATACTCAGGAGTATGAAGCTGATGAGATAATTTAATCACATTTACTGTAGTCTGAGAGGAACTGTCATTCTCCATCCTGTTTCTTTTATATAACAGAGGGCCTCCAGCTACATCGATGATACACAGGAGAACCCACACCATTTTGAACTCTACCTACCTCGCTTTAACTTCGGAGAGCTCCGATGTAGGGTGCAGTCCATATCATCTACTCCCCTTCTAGACTGGCTTCTAGTTCTTTGCACAACTTTGCTCAAACAAAATGCTTTAGGTCTTTGGCCTTATTTTATTTTGCATCTTCAAACTTCTGTTTCATTCCCTCTTGTCATCTGCGAAGATCATTCAGGATATAAACCATGAAAAATTTGAATCTTGCTTTAGGGTAAATTTGCTTTAGTTGTTTCCTGTTTCTGATGTTTATATTTTCTTCCCTTCCCTTTTCACCTCTTCCTTCCTACCTCAAAACGTCTCTACTTGTCAGGAACAAATAAAAAATGCAAGCAACAACAGTCTACAGAAAGCTGACAATAAACCTATTATCTTGGCCACAACATGGGGTGTCTTAGTCCGTTCAGGCTGCTAAAATGAAATTCCACAGACTGGGTGGCTTATAAACAACAGAAATTTATTTCTCACAGTTCTGGAGGCTGGAAGTCTGAGATCAGGATGAGGACCCTCTTTTGGGTGCAGACTTCTCCTTGCATCCTCACTGTGGCAGAAGAGGCTAGGGAGCTCTGTGGGGTCTCTTTTGTAAGGCACTAATCCCATTCATCAGAGCTCCACCCTTACGATTTAAGCACCTCCCAAAGGCCCCACCTCCTAATCTCATCATCTTTAGGGGTTAGGATTTCAACATACGAATTTGGGGGAGACACAAACATTCCAACCATAGGCAAAAATGGCTGTATTTCAGGTCAGAAACAAGTCGCTATGTGCAAAGAGCTAGTTCTCTTTGCTCCAAACTCAGTCCTCCATGCTATACTCTTACATATCCTTACAGAGTTGCTAACCTCTGAGATCTTAGTGCTTCCCTTGCTACTCCACTAAGAATATTAATAATCTTGTCATCAAACGCTAATGAGAATGTCACCAGAATGACGCTGCATGGTACAATCCCATTTGGTCTCTCTACACTTGTTTTGCCTGTAACTTACAATTCCTTTAAATTTATATGGGTGTTGTAGCTATTATTGGGTTCTGCACAAAACTATATAGATTCAGAAAATAGTAGCTTGTGTGAGGAAGGTTACAGAACTATGTTTCCAACACTGCTGAATAAATAATGAAAGAGAAGGTGGAATGCAGAGGAGCGCTGGGAAGCTTGTTGGCCAGTGGGGAGCAGGTGTATGCTGGGCGGTGGACAGAACAGAGGCAGGAGGGATGAGGCGCAGACTCACTAAGTCACTGCCACCCTCACAACCTGGCCCTACTGGAGCCTGGCCAGCTCTCTGCCAGGAATCACTGTGAACTGTTCAGCTTTTTCATGGGGAGCTGCAGAAATCCCAGGAACCAGGTGTCTGGGGCAGTTTTTAGCATAGCTCTCTGTATGTCGCTGAAACCCACCAGTCTTATGGGCCCAGCCTTCCATTTTTTGGCTTTTTCCACCTTTCCCTGCCTAATCCCAGCCCTCCTTTGAAATGAGACTGTTTCATGGCCTACCTTGGCAAAGCACTCCGTTGAGAGGAGCTCAGAGACCGCCAGTTTGACCTGGCGCACCACGCCTTCTCAGCTCATTACGCCTGAATGCGGCATTGTTCCCGTGCTGAATGAAGTTTTGGAAAATGACTTTCAGATGTTAGATTCCCATTCTGGTGCTGTTTTACCCCCTTGCCGTTTATAATCTCATAAAGCTCATCATCTTTGTTTGGCTCTGGACAAAAATGAAAAGCCTCATGAAATAGCATCCTAGATGAGATGGACTGATATGAATTTGAAATGCTTCAGCTTCAGACCACTACCAAATAATTTAATTATTGCCCTTCCACTGTACTTACCTTTTTTGTTTGTTTGCTTCTTTGGCTGCAACTCTCGAATCCATTGGGTTATTTTAGGCAGTGCCCGCAAATTACTGTGACCCTCTTTATCTGAACTCTGATCAGAAAGCCACCTAGTTCTCCTCAGGTTTTTTTTTTCTCCCCCCCAACCCCCCACCCCTCTTCAAATCAGAAAAGTAGCTGCTGAAAGCAGAACAGTTGCCATGGCAACCTCTTGGCAGCTTCCTCAGCGAGTAACAGTGTTGATTTCCCGAGGAGGCTGGGTGGGAGGGGGTGGAGCTCTGAGGAGGTAAAGGAAGGTTACTGTGCACTTAGTTAATATGCAAAACCACTTACGCAGTGCTGGATGCGCAGTGAATAAGCGCAAACAAAGCCATGCTTGATCGGCTAACACGGACTTTACACACTAGTTGATCTGTCCAAGGATGCAGATGTCGGCTCAGAAAGAAATTTTGCAATTGGACAGTAAAGGACACAAGAAGTAACACTACAAGAGGTTGAACGCTATTTTTGTAATGGTTGGTGAATGTGGAAGAAATAAACAGAAGCTGAGGTGTAATTGCTTTGCTCCTCTTTGCTTTGTTCAAAGAAAAACACAGCAATCTAAATCACAGGGATGGTGTTTTCTCTGAGAATTTAACATACTGAAGTTCAAGTTTGCATCAATTAAACTCTATGTAAGATAAACCAATATGTTCAGATATAAGCAAGTATAGCATAATTTGGTTTGTGCTGAACAAAACATACGGCTCAAGTAGCATCTTTCACCTCCGAGTTTTCAGACAAAGAAGCAGCTTATAGTAACTTGGGGCTGGGAGTGGGGGCGGATCCTGTTGGATCTCTCCTCTCTATCTCTCCTTCTTGCTCTCCAACTTTGAAAGATCCCTGTTTGTTTCCTGGGGGGTGGACAGGTTGGAAATCAATTCCCGAGAGAGCGCTGGGGAGAATCTAGCGCAGCGTTGTTCTGGCAGAGGTCACCTGCATGAGGAATGAGCAGACTGGCTGCGAGCTGAGGAGGCGGCGGCCAGCCCCTTACCTCGCGGCCTGCAGCTTTGCATGTTAAAGAAGAGGTAGGCTGATGGAAAGCCTGCAGCCGTGAGCAAGGTCTGCCCAGCAGGTGTCACTAGGGATTTAAAGCTTACCAGACCTTTGGGACAAGGCCTAGGAAACAGCCAAGCCGTGATTAATGAAGCTTACTTTAAAATATTTTTGAGAGTTTATATATGAAATAATTCCAAGGAGTTTTCCTTCCAAGGGAAGTAAAAATGATAGCTACAGCTTGGTATAAATGATTTCTGGGTCTATCTCTGTTTCTGAGTCCCCATTCTAAAAAGCAGACGTGGACATAAAACTCACAGACGGCATACCCAATCGAACACCATGCGGAAAATACACATGCGAAGCCAAAGCAAGTGCCAAAAATGATTACGATGGTAGAACTCCCACTATCAAAATCAGCCGCCATGGCCCTACACTGGAAGTCAGGGTCTGAGTGCAGGAAAGAAGTGCACTTGCTTCAGAGCTTTGCTGGGAATTATCAGGGAAGTGTTTATGGTTCTTTTACAAAGCATCATTAGGTGCAAAGTTCTACTTGCAAACTAAATGAAATTTCTGACAAATAGATATAATCTTTCCCACGTCACAGATGAGAGAAACTGAGGCTCAGGGATGTTGTCATTTAGTCACACAGCATTATGGAACAGAATCAGGACAAGGAACCAGCCTCCTGCTCACATTTCTGCTACCGATGGTAACTCTAGCCTGGGAAGAACGAAAGAAAACCACAGGGCATGCAGGGACATCATGCAAATAATCCTTTGTTTTCTGTTCTTTTTCCTGGGGATGCCCCATCACACAATACCACCAAGGAAACGCTCCTACAAATGAAAATGCCAGTCTGCAGTTATGCAATTGTGGCAGAATCTCATTAAGATCTTAGTTGGTCATTATATTTATTTCTGTTTTATGAGGCAAAGAATAAATGACTTTAGTAGCATTGATGTCTATAGGTCCATTTTCTAACCACAACTCTGACCATTTCTCTAATCACTTAACTGATGTTGTTTTAATGAAAGCTATTCTTATTATGCATTATTAATAAAGGACCACCATTACTATTAATATCACTTAGGAAAGATCCTATAAAGAGCTTTGAGACTGCAGATGCAATAAACAAGAAGCCAAATTCTCTATGGTGTGAAAAATACCAGGTAAGGCTGGCTATACATATTTGATCTTGTGAAAGTGTTATAAAGGGTCATAAGTGGATTTCACATGCCCATAATAAAAACCCTGAACCCCATGAAGATTGATATGTGCACTAACTTCTTCTCCATATGGAGAGAAAATTGATGAGTTGACAGGAACTTTCATAAACCTCTGATTTCATGACCATGACAATGGAGTGAATATATTACCTCACAGTTCAGGGAATTCATGCTTACCTAAGAGGTCATATTCATGATGGGTGAAAGCAAACGTATTTATACTTTCAAATAGAATACAGGATGTTGGATAAGTGGGAATATTGTCATAATTCTGTGACATATTGTAAGCATACTATGCAACTTATAATTCTCATGGGCATCGTAGTATATTTGAGAGCTGAGACCATGGGAGTGGGGCAAAGACCCCTTTCACATGTCCACCCTTCAATGGTATTCCCATTGAAAGGATTTCCTCCAGCCTCCAAAGTTGCCATTGCCAACAAGGCTTAGAGACTTGGGTTCACTCTGTCTCTTTGTTAGGGAGGGATGAATTAGAAGCAATTTGAGCAAAGCCAGAAGGAGCAGAGCCTTGGCCTCTGACTCTCCTACTCCATCAATGGAAAAGGAAGACTGGACTGTGGTCTCATCACCCTCAAGGTGAGCATGACGTTCTGCACTCTAACAAAGGAATCACCTTAGCAGAGTGGGCCGACTTACCACCCTGGGAGTCCTGTGTTCTACGAGAATCATGGCACTGCTTTACATTTGTTCTCTGAGAACCGGGGCTTATTCCACTCGCCTGAAGGTTACATTTGGAATAACAACAGTCTCACATCCACTCTAAGACTTTTTCTTTCTGAGTCTGTTTTAAGGTTTGCCCACCCCTGATTTTTTACCTGGCATTCAACCTCATTGTGGGACTAAAAGGCATAGGTCAGCTGGATAACCTGAGGGCATTAAGAGTGAGTTCATCCATGACAAGATCATAGGCACACCTGGAGATTTCTAAGGGCTCTGAGAAACTTACAGGACTTTTATCCATGCTTATAGATTATATTTTTGCCAAAAGCCTCAGTCTCATTAAAATAGCAATAATCATGTGTTTTTTCTAGGAATGCATATGCTTTAGTTCTTTAAAGTCTATAATTTAATCTCACATTAGTCAGGTAAATATCATTATCCCCATTTTCACAGATGTGGAAACAGAGGCACAGGATTTGAGAGTGGATAAAGTCATGGAGTAAAAAAATGGAAGAATCCCTTGACTTCCAGCCTAATACTCAGTCTACTCATTCACTTATGCTCTCTTATTAATTAGCAGAAACTCAAAACACCTATGAAAGAGTGGCTGCATGGAAACACGGTGTGAACCTTTAGTTTATGCCTTGGCTGCATAAATTGATTTTTCTGACTTATCAATGCAAAACTCTTGGGTTATTCCATTGGATTTATTTGCACTTTCACTTGTTTTGCTCTTTTCCAAATTATAGTTCAGCAAGAAATAGCAATGAGGCTTTCACAGAACTTTTAGATTATGCCAATAGTATCTTCTTAGTAGTTTTATTAATCAAAGGAAAGCGTCTTGTTTATGATGTAACCATTGAAAATAGTAAGTATTGGAACAATAGTCTTAAATTTTCGGAAGACACTTTCAAACGGCTAAGATGATTTACACAGAAAGGAAAAATTTTTCTGTGCAGGTTGTGGTCTGTGTTTCCTCTGATATGTCCAGTTGGGTAGGTTGGGAACTAAGGTGCATATTCTTAGTTTTTAAGGTAAAGGAACTTTGTGAATTTTAAGTCTTTTTGGTTGGCCACTTTTTAACTACTATTTTTACTAATCATTATAATATATCATCAAGAATCAAGACACATTTATGTTCTGCTTTAATAAAATCTATAGGGGGCCTGCCCCATGGCCGAGTGGTTAAGTTCGCACGCTCTGTTTCGGTGGCCCAGGGTTTCGCCGGTTCGGATTCTGAGCATGGACATGGCACCACTCGTCAGGCCACGCTGAGGCGGCGTCCCATATGCCACAGCTAGAAGGACCCACAACTAGAACATACAACTATGTACTGGGGGGATTTAGGGAGAAAAAGGGGGAAAAAAAAATGAAGAATGGTGACAGTTGTTAGCTCAGGTGCCAATCTTCAAAAAAAAAAATCTGTAAACATATTGAAAATCAAAATGTGAGTGTAAAGATAATAGAACACTAGGATGTTATACTTATAAAATACCACATAAATCAGATAGTCAAAACACACCCAGGAGCAAAACTAAGACCTAGAGAAATTAAGAGAAATTGTTCTAAGTCTCAGAGCATTCAGGAAGAGAAGTGAAACCATACTGAAGGTCTGTAACCTCTGGGACTCATTCCTATGTCATTACCCCTCCTATTCATTTTTGGTTCTTTGGTTCATTCCTATTCTTTGGTTTACTTTTTCCCCTCTTCCCTGAAGTTATTATTTCCATATTTCCTTTTCTGCACATGCTGTGTGCAGTCACCCATAGATTTGATTTCCACCACACCGCCTCTCCGGAGAGGCACCTCCATCACACTAAGGCCAGGCTGGTGTGCAGAGATCTTAACATTGTAACCCTGTAGCCCTAGGGAACCCCAGACCATCAGCATGCTTCACTCTCTAGGTCCCCAGCCTTGCAAGGTGAATCCACAGGAAATGCTGACAATAATATGTGGGACTATCATGGAGGGAATACAGAGATCTGATTGCCCAGATTCATAAACCATCTATATGACAAACAAGAGCACTGGATTTAAAAGTCTTGCCACCAAGGCAGCATCTTAATTGTATACCACCTGCTTAAATGCTCAGAATCTTATGGCTAAATTTTCTACTAAGCTTTGAGCTCTGAAGACAAATATTAAATTAGGATTTGGCAAGTAGAGTGTGCTCCTTCCTAGAAAAGCACTTTTATTTTAACATTTAGTTATGAAGCTGCGCCACAGAGGAGCTTTGAGCTTGTTGATTAGAAACTGAGTCATACTTGCCAGGGCTGTGGTCAAATTGCAGGTCCCACCCCCACCTTCCGCCAACCCCCTCCAGTAACTGACTAACCTTGCTAAGGTTGACCGGGCTGAACTTTGAGATGGTCCCAAGTGTTCATAGGCTGAGCTGCGCTTCTGAAGGTGTGTGCCCAGAAAGGCCATTGTGAAGGCAGAAGGGAGCCCTCGCTGACAAGAATTTCCAAGGAAATCTCTCCGTTGCTGACAATGTTTAGTAAGAACAATTTTACATCTACCTGAAGAAAATGTCAACGTTTCCATTTATTTCAAACTGTTGTGAGAGATATTGAATTATTGTGCAGGAAAAATCTTTTCCATACCCACCAAGAAGATTGCAACAATCTCCCAAAATGGAGAATGTCTTGTAACCAAGCACATAGATCAAAAATTGATTTATGTGAGCCATTGAGTTGTACATATTTTGACACCATTCCTTTTGTAGCCTTATTCCATTATCTTGACAGAAGAAAATGCTCATCTACTTCTAAACTTTGATTCTAGCTAATTTTATAAATATATTTATGGTTTTTATATAGTTAAAAGCAATTTAATGTATTTTACAACAAAATATATATCCTAGTTCTTACTTTGTTCCTCTTTATCTTAGACAAGAAATAATTTTCTTTGACAAATAACTATATTCATGTCCACTTTTTAAATGCCTCTCATCTCCACTTGTCATGCCAAAATTCTTTAATATTCCTTATGTCTTAATTCTTATCATCTCAAGGTTTTGAGGGAAACAAGGGCCAGAATAACCTTTCGCCTTCTCCTCTGATGACAGTCTCTGCAAAAACTACTTCAGCATCCCAGCCTGGAGGGCAAATAGCATTCCCAGCAAGTGACATTTCTAGCGAGACAATTCTTGAAGTGTAGTGTGAAATTGTGTGTGTGCGTCTCAAGATGATACTTTTTAAAAAAATAGAGAAGACAGTTTTAAAAATTGTTCTTAAAAAGGAGACATTTTAAAGGAAAAAAATGGGCAGAAAAATAAATTACAGCAAAGTACGGACATACAAGAACATTGGAGGTAGAAGTCTAGGAGAACGTAATGACCAACTAGTAATGGATT